AGAAGGTTTCTTATCTACTGATAAAATTGACAACTCAGTAAACTATTTTTTGCTGGTCATCCTACATTAAAAAAAAAAAAGCACAAATATATTTGCCTTAGAAATCTGCTAAAAGCAGGGGACCACACGGTAAAAGAGTATAAAGATTCTATAAATGGGAGAGTCCAAGAAAACCTCTCTCCAAAATGTCCACAAGGATACATATGCCCATTGGAAGAAAAAGTAAGAATATACATATTATTAATCATTCAGAGAATAAAAAAGTTAAGATTGGTATAATATATTTATATTGAATGACTACTTTAAAATAGAGCAACTTATTTGCTTTACTTCTCAGATTCCTTAGGCAAAAGTCACTTAAGTTCTGAAGCGTAAAAGAAATACTGGACCAATATCAAGTGGGGATGGTTTCAACTCCCAGAGAAGAGAAGGACAAGTTTTGCCTTTTGGGTCTTTCCCTTTTTCAAAAAATAAAAATAAAATAACATAAAAACAACCAAATCCTCCAGACTGCTATCTGCATGCATATTTAAATCACTTCCCCTTGATTAACATTACAAAGAAACATCGCTGCCCAAAAGGATTGTAGTGATCTTTTTCTAGCGAAAAGATAATCATTCTACAAATAATTTGCCCTGTGACTGTAGTCATTCATAACGTACATAATATTTGCAAAGCACAGTTTAAATACACTGCCTTTTATTAGCGTTATTATTATTTTTTTTAATAAAAGGGATGCATATCAGAGTGTAAGAACTGGAAGATAATTTCCACAGTTTAAAGAATTAATAAGAGAATGCTGGTTTAAGGTCTTAAAGTTGGAAATCTTACCAAAATGCCATCATCAAAGTCTGTGAACTAGTTATAAACAGCAGGATACCCACTGGCTAGGCTGTGGCGCTCTCTGCGCCCACCCCCCACCCCCGTGTTACCATTTTTTTAAGATATTCTGTCAATGCTTAGTTAAAAATAAGACTTACTTAAGAGACCCCCCCGAAATGCAATTAAACTTTTATTGAAGACTATCCAGTGGCAAGAATACCTGTGTATTATATTATGTTTTAGACATTCAATAAGGAATTCATTAAGAATGATTTTCACAATGCATTCATCAAAACAGCCTTAAATATGGTTAAAAGCGCATCCAAGCGCCTGTCCTGAGTTCTAACAGGTTTTAAATTTAGATTGCTGACCATCTATTTTTCTTTTATTTTACTCTCAAGAACTTAGCTACAGAGCTTTTTAAAAAATTATCATTGTTAAATCAAGGCTATTTGTTTCCATTCCGAGGCCAATTATATTACTAATTTACTTAAAGTTTCTACCCCACCACAAAAAAAAAGTCCAAGATTCATCTATGATTAAAACATAAAGCACATGCAAAGTTTTCAGATTTTCGAAATACATAGACTCAGTCTTATAAATGGGTTTGTGTTTTCAACAAGTTTCAGAACCGCAGCAGAGGGCCGCCACGTAAAACCACCAGCACAGAGAATCGTCAATTGTAAACCGCTGGTTCAATTATTCGTGGCTAAAATAAATGTCCGACCAATAACTACATTAGTCTATCATTTTGAGAGGAAAAAAAAAAAAAAAAAAGGTAAACAACTCCAGAAATCCAGTTCTATATTGAGAACCTTGTTAACACCATCAGCCCTTTCTTTTCCCAAGTGTACTAGGGAAATCTGATGGTTCATCGAAAGGGAAGAGCCACAGAATCTGTCCCATCTGCAGCAAAAGCTGGTTGGCTTCGCATCCCCGGGCTGGGGGCTGGAGGCTGCCCGGGGCCGGCGGGAGGCTGGGGGAGGCTGTGGCTCGCAGCGCGGGGGGGACGGGACCGAGGAAAAGCAGGACGAGAGCCAGGAAGGGTGCGGGGCCCCTGTGGCCTAGCCGCCCCCGGTGCTGTGCGGACGCACGCATTTGGTGTCGCCGAATCTCAGTAAAAATGGAGGCCGAACCTTGGTCAATCATGTCAGTAGGTTCAAGAAAGGGCAGTGGGGGTTCTGCACCGCGTCTCCAGGAGCCGCTGGAGCCCTCCCCCACGGCGGGCGCCGCGGCTCGGAGGTGGGGCGGGAGAGCGGGCGCGCCGGGCCCCGCACGGCCTCCCCGCCTCCCTCGGCGCGGCCCCCTGGGAAAGAGGGGCGGACGGCACGGAAGGGGGGCCGGGGCCGGGGCCTGCCGCGAGGGCTCGGACGCGGGCCGGGTCTGGGAAAGGAGAGCCGAGAAAAAGAAGGGGAGGGGGAGGGGGAGGGCCGGGCCGACGGCCCCCGGAGCGCGCGCGGGATCGGATCCCGCCCGCGCCGCCGCGGCCGGAACCCCGAGGAGGCCGCTGGGGAAGGGGAAGCACCGAGAGGACGAGCCACCTTCCCAGAGGCGGCCCTCCCGAGGCGAGTTCCGGGGCGGCCCGGGAGCCGGCGCGGCGGCGCCTCCCCCGCCCACCCCCGTTCGCTTTCTCCCTCCCCACCCCGCGGGCCTCGGGGTGCCAGTGGGGGCGTCCGCGCGCGCCTCCGGGGCCCGCCCGCCGCAGGCTGCGCCCTCGTTGCCTCGGCGGCCCCGCCGACGCCCTGGTGGCCGCAGCTCGGATCGCAGCGACGGTGCCATGTTCCTGCCGGCGCCCCCGCCGCCCCGCCGCGCTTCGCGCTCGGTAAGAGACTGACACCGACGACCTCTCCCCGGCCCCCGTCGCCACTCGAGGTCCAGAACTGCGGTCTCGCGCCCCACAGCATCTACCTCTGCGCACACTCGGAGATGCAGCGTTAGAGGGGAAAAAAAAGAAAAAAAAGAAAAAGAAAAAATTCAGAACTGGGAACGGCTGTCCCCACCCTCTAAGGGAGAGCGGCGGGGATGATCCGAGCCCTGGAGCGCCGGCTGCCCGAGGGCGGCTGACACCGCGACGCAGCCCGGAGCGGAGAACGCACACCCCCGGCCAGCGCGGGGCAGTGACCGCGCGCCGGCACCGGGTCCTCGCCGCGGCCCCCGCCCCGGCCGGTCTCCGAGGCTCTCGGCACGGCCCGCCCGCCCGCCGGCCAGGATGGGTGGGGAGAGTGGGAGTGGAGGAGGAGGAGGTGAGAGAGGAAATGGGAGGTGGGGGGGTGTTGAAGTAAAGGGAAGGCAGAGAAAGAACCCTCCTCCCTGGTTTTCGGTAATAGCCGCGGAAGGCCGAGTTAGAAGAGATCCGCCTGCTCGCTGAGCACCTTCCAGCCTGACCCCCACCTCCCACCCGCGCACACAACGGCCTCGTCACTGCGCTGCGACAACGGGACCTCCAGTTTGACTGCTATAGAGACTAGTGGCGATGCGAGTTTCTATCAGTTCCAGCTGATTTATTAAAATTGTCAAGATACAGACTTCCAGCACCAAAAAAAAAAACCCAAAAAACAAAAACAACAAAAAAAAAACAAAAAAAAACCAAAAAACAAAACAGGCAATGATGTCGACAGTGCATTGAGTCTGCTTTGCCACCATTTGCTACAAAATATGCAGATGGTCTGTACTTTATTTAGATTATATTGCACAAAATGAGAAACTTTTTAAACTATGTGCCTTTTTTTCTTTCTTTTTTTTTTTTTTTTTGCTAAAAATCGAGAATCCAGTTTCAAACCTTCCATCTGGGGCCCCATCCACATATCACAGCGTATGAGATACATAAAGTCCTAGTATAGTACAGTACATATACAATCTTTAAACTAAGATAACAGCTCTGAGGTCTATATCACCATTTTCAATAAATCTTTAACCTACAAATATTGAACAAATCTCTACTATAGCTGTACAAAAAAAAAGTTTTTTTTTTTTTTTAACCACAAGGCCTTTAGATGCAAGGATTATTTAAAAATTTTAATCCTTTTAAACCAGGACATCACGTACCAACATACTTGCATGCTAAAAAAAAAAAAAAAAAAAAAAAAAAAAAAAGAGGAAAAAAAAAAAATCAAAAGGGAAGAAGTGCCTGAAAGTCTTACTGAAAAAACACAGCAAGAATGTTCCCTTTTCACTGTACAAAAATACGCCTGAAAATATATTAATTTTTAAAAAAGACTGAGGTCTGTTATGTATCAAAAATGTTTCAATACCTTTTGTACTGAGGTCTAGGCTGTCTGGTATTCAATCAGAGGTATAAGGGAACAAGTTACAAAAAAAAAAGTTGGCAAGTAGAAATCACATTTGTAAAACCATAAACAATTTGATCTGAAAAGTAAACTCTGATCTTAAGTCAGTTCACAGTTTTTTTTTTGTTTTTTTGTTTTTTTGTTTTTTTTTTTGTGAGCGTTTGTACAGTCTGCATTTTTTCAAGCTCCCTGCAGTTTTGTTAAGAATCGGATGCATAGAAGACATCAGTTTTCTCCCTCCAAAAAAATAAAATAAAATAAAAAAGTTGCAATGGTCCCTTTTTGTTTTTGTGTTTGTTTGTTTTTTTTTTAAAAAATACCAGTTCTTTTAAAATTTTTTAAAAAAAAAAAAAAAAAAAAAAAAAAAAAACTCCAACCAACTCCCTAGCGTAACGGTTGTGCTGCCAAAAGGTCCTCTGCAGACGTCTTCCAGACTTCAAAGACCGACAAGCTTCAAACAGCGCCTTCCGGAGCGGGTCCTCCCTCCCCTCCCCCGCCCTGTCCCCTCCGCCTTTGTTGCAATCACGAATTTCAGGAAAAAGAAGTAGTAATTACAAAAACACATTTGGGGGTAAAAATCACAACTCCAGACTAGGTATGCAACTACCTTGAGACACGATAAAGGAAGGGAGGGGAGCAAAAAAAGGACAGGAAAAAATGTTTTAAAACTACTCATTTCACTTTAACTCCACCAAAATTTTCATCATCTTTTCCAATTTCTTTGTGTCACGACATCATATCAAGACCAGCGTCTTCTTCTCCCTCCACCCTACCACCACCACCATCGACACCATCGACACCATCATCATCATCATGACCACCACGACTTCCTCCCGAGGAACCCTGCTCTGCACCCCGCGGAGAGAAAGAGCGAGAAGCGGGGCGCCCCTCTCAATACGTGAACACCAGGTCGGAGAAGTTCGCCTCCAGCCAGTCCCCCGCGATCATCTCGCTCAGCTCGGGCGTGCAGTAGTCGGGGAACTCGAAATGGGAGCCCAGGCTGCCCTCGCTGAACGAATCCAAATCCTTATCCACCAGAGACAGGGACAGGTTCCCGGCCGCCGCGCCGCCCCCCAGCTGCTGCTCGCCGGCGCTGTGCGCGCTCTGGGAGAAATTCAAGCTCAGGTCGAACATCAGGTCGTCGGCGTCCTCGCCGGCGCCGCTGCTGCTGCTGCCGCTGCTGCTGGACGAGGACGACGACGAGGTGGAGACGGAGCGCGAGGACGCGGGCGACAGCGCGGGCTGCGCGAGCGGCGGCGGGTGCTGCTTGGTGATGTTCTTGAAGCTGTAGTAGAGGCGGCTGCCGCCCCCGGCGCCCGAGGTCGCGCCGGCCCGCACCTCGTCGTACAGGCTCGCGCCCTCGGGGGACTCGGCCGAACTGCTCAGCGTGGGGCTGGCGGGCACTTTGGCGACGTTGTAGCGTCTCAGCAGCTGCGGCGGCTGCTGGCCCGGGGGCTGCAGGAGCTGCTGGTGCGGCGGCTCGTCGTCGTCGTCGTCCGCCTCCTGCTTGATCCGCAGCTGCAGCTCGTCGTCGTCCTCGTCGTCCTCGTCGTCCTCGTCCAGGAACACGCACTTGACCGTCTTGCCCGCGCCGCCGCCGCCGCCGCCGCCCGCGCCGCTCACGCGCAGGCTGCCGAGCACGTAGTCGTCGCCCGCGCCGCCCAGGTCCCCGGGCTGGGCCGCCTTGCCCGCGCCGGCCTTGGCGCCGCCGGCCGCGGGGGCCGCGGGGGCCTTGAGCTTGCCGCATTTCTTGCTGGAGCCCTTGGAGGTCTTGGCGCCGCCCGCGCCGCCGCCCGCACCCCCGCCGCCGCCGCCGCCGCCGCCCGGCGCGCTCTTCTCGGGGCTCTGGCTGGCGCTGGGCTTGGCCGAGGGGTCCATTTTGGGCTTTTTCCGGGGCCGGTACTTGTAGTCGGGGTAGTCGGCCATGTGCTTGAGCCGCAGCCGCTCCGCCTCCCGGATGAACGGGATCTTCTCGCTGTCCTTCAGCATTTTCCACCGCTTGCCCAGCCTCTTGGAGATCTCGGCGTTATGCATGTCCGGAGACTGCTCCATGATCTTCCTGCGCTCGATCTTGGACCACACCATGAAGGCGTTCATCGGCCGCTTGATGTGGCCCGACGCCGTCTTGCACCAGTCCGGGTCGCTCTCGTCCAGGGCCACCGGGCTGCAAGCCATGAATTCGCCCTCCTCCGTGTCCAGCGCCTCCCGGGGCAGGTTGCTCTCCGCTTCCAAGCTCTCCGCCTGCTGCACCATGATCCGCCGCGGGGCTGGGCGCTCCAACCCGGGCCGCTCGGTCTCGTGCGGAGGTCCCCCTCCCCCTCTCGCCCCTCCACCTTCCCGGGCAAGTTGCAAAGTCCTCGGTACCCCGCGTCCGCGGCTCCCCCCCTCCCCCCCGCCCCCCCTTCCAGGCTGCACACAGCGGTTGCGGCGGTTGCGGCGGCGACGGCCGCCCGCGCGCGGGAAGCGGCGGCTGCGACGGGAGAGGCAGCGGCGGTCGAGGCAGCCCGGGACCTCTCTCTCTCTCTCTCTCTCTCTCTCTCTCTCTCTCTCTCGGGCTCGTGGCTCCCGCCGCAAGCGCCGGACCCCGAGCACTCCCAGGCGCGCGCGCTCCTTCTGCAAAAAGTTGAGGGCTCTCTCCCAACTAGTTATCAGGGTGTCATATGGGTGACATCACTCCCCGGGCCAGCCAATGGCTGGCGGCCGGCTCCGCCCAGCTCCCTTTATTAACTCCTCGGCCACGCCCCCTCCCCCGCCCTCGGGGCTGCTTTGCAAAGATGGGGGGTGGGGGAGAGGGGGAGGCACGTCTGAAAATATGTTATTTTTTAAAAATCCGCATGTGTGCACAGATGCGCCGCTCCCCGGGAGGCTCCGGAGCCGAGCCCTGCACCGCGGCGGACCGGGCGAGTCCGGGCCAGGTCCGGCGCCCCTTTGTGCGGGGTCCCCTGGAGGCCGGTGCGAGGGAGCCGAGCCGGCGCGCCCGCCCTCGCCGAGCACACACTCGGGCGCGCGCGCCGCCGGAGCGGGGAGCGGGAGGGTGCCGCCCGGCGCGCCCCCGGGGGGTGCAGCTGCTTCCCGGGGCCGCGCGCGCCCGAGCCCGCCGGGGAGCCCCGCGCGCCCCGGCCGACGGAAGGTGGCGCTTTAACACAGCACCTCCGGGCACGTGGGCTCTCGCCGCTCCTTCCCTTTCTCCCTTTTTCCAAGGCAAAGAGAGCCATAGAAAGCCCGAGAGGCTTCATTCTCCCTCCCCTGCCTGCATTTTCTGTTTTGTCCCTTTTCTCCGTCTGTTTTCCCTCTTCCGTGGCGAGCGGAGACGCCGCGGGCCGGTTGGGCTGCGCCTGGCCGCGTGCGTCCCGCCCCACGCCGAGGCTGGAGTAACGGTCTGTGGGGTTTGGCTGGGGCCGGGTCCTCGCGTTCAATCTGGCCACTCCGGAGCCTGGTTCTAAACCCGGTCCGGGGACCGCGAGCTGCCCCACAGCCCCGCCCATGCGTCTCCGGCCCGCCTCCCCCCCGCCGCCTCCCGCGACCCCTCCGCCTGTCCCCTTCCCCCCTCCCCATTCCTTCCCATTCCCCCTTTTCCTCTTTGTCCCCTCCCCCTCCCGGTCACCAGCGCCCTCCGGAGCGGCGTCATCCTGCAAATCTAGCTAGGAGCAAGCACGCCTTCTGGGGCACTCGCTCTTTCAGTTAGCGACCTGGACCGAAGAGGAAACAAGGTGCATCCCAACTTTGCAGTCGGAAGACGTCCTGTATCTGTGCAAAGGTGGGACGGGCCGCTCTTGGAACAGCCACGCAGAGATCGGGCTGCCTTACTAAAGCAGCCCCATGCCCGGTCGAGCCTGCTGTGCTACTTGGAAACCCGTTTTCTTTGTGTTTCTTTATTTAGTCCCTGTTACCCATCTGTGGATATTATGGGGGTAAAATGAAAAGAAAACCGCCGCTTCCTATTCATTGTCTGTCGTCATCACTGGCTTCACACCCTCCAGCGCTGGGGAGCTGGCAACTTTGAGTAATTCCCAAGATACTGCTCAGAGTGTTTCACAAGAGAAGTCAGCCGCTTCGGACTAGTAAAATTATCCAGACCGGCTTCCTTTTAGGTTCCCTTCCTGCAAGTAACCCGCCTTATCCAAGCATTTCAGCTTCCTGATGTCTTCAATACATAAAATGGTACCACGTTTTCCTATTTTTCACAGACCACCATATGTATAATACATACACCACCGTCGCCGTTCCCTCCCCCACCTTTTGCAGCCTGAAGAAAAATGCTGCTTTCAGTCCTTGTGACATAAAGGCCGGTCGTGCTGGCGATTTATTTTTTAGAGCCATCGGAACCAGAGGAATTTATAGCCATGCATACCGGGTGACCTGAAGTCTGGAGAGGCATAAAACCCAAGGCAGTGTGTGAAAATTCATATTCACTCCCACAAGGCAAGCTCTGCTTTGCCTTCCTGGCTCATGTCACACATTCCCCAGCCTTTCCAGCTACTGGGCACACCACAGGAGGGTGGGTGGTTGGAATGGTGGATCTACACTCTTCCCCCAACACAGGACAAATCCATACTCTAGCCAGAAGGCTTGAAATAATTTAGCTCAGTTGCATTATTTTCATGCAAACTATTATTTTCCTGCATCTAGTATTTGGACTACAGAATGCCTTTGAAAATCTTCAGCCAATTCAACGTTCATTTGCCCTTTTCACTCCATCGCAAAAATCATGTTTAACTTTAGCATGAGAATCAGGGGAGTATAATCAAGCTGGAAAATAATGGGTTTATTCTTTGAGTGCCATGATCATCTGAAAGGAAATGGGAGCTAATATTTACCCTTTCAGATAAGAAACATAATTTCTGTTCTGAGAAAGATGGGTCATCTTTGGAGAAGAGAAAGCCAGAGTAACGGGGTTGTTTATTAGTGTGAGCGGGCAGGCGGGGATGAGGAGAGGTCAGTGCTGTGACTCGGGGGTCTTTCGATCAACACACTGCAGAGGTTGGAATGGGTAAAGCAGGCATGGGGACTTGCACAACAAGAAGGTCCTGGAGAGGATTCCTCCCTCTCTACTCTGTAGACAAGGTCAGAATTTTCAGAAAGGATTACCTAGATTGCTATTTTGTAACATGATCTACCCCAAGATTCAATGTCCCTGAATTTAGTGAGGATTTGGAGACAGGAAAGGAAAAGACAGCTAAATAACTCATCTGTATTTTTTTTCTTTCTTCTCTCCCTCCTTCCTTCCTTCCTTCTTTCTTCGTGTTTTAATGAAAAGTTTTAAAAGAAGGACATAGGAATGTGTTTGAGACCTTCATGCTTCTTACTGGAACAGTATAAAAATTAGATGTTTGCAATATCAGCTGTAACCAACTATTTAAAGGAATTTTAAGCTAACAAATGGAAAATGTGGCCCTCTGTAAAGATCCATACATCTCCTGAAAGTCTAATTTAGTAAAATGGAAACTTAGCAGCTATTTTTAAAACAACTGAATGTAGGATTCATTTGGATTGGGTTAAGGGGTCATCTTTTTTATAGCCAATACATATTTCATTTATGTGTGAATATTTATATATTTATAAGCAAGATATGCAATTTTCCTGCTAACTGTAAAGATTGTTGGAGATATAATTCATGTTCAGAGGCTTAAGATTTACATTTCATTAGAGCTACACATGACTAATTTTATGGTTATTATTGTCTTTTACAAATGCATCTTTACAAAGAAGACCCTTCATTTATAAGAACTATTATGTAAGGGGATAAGATATTCTACAAAATTTCTCAAAATTGTGAGAACACCATCAGAATACATACAGAATGTTCTTTTCCCCTCTGAACAAGACACAATTCTCCAGGCAAATAGTACACTGAAAATATCACTGGGTAAATATTTGATCATTAAGTTGAACATATCAGTTTCAGAAGTGCTCTGACTACTCGCGTTGCTCCCTCGCTGAAATGATACTGCGCAGGACCGTCCTTCCATGTCTTCTCCCTTGGTCTGCTCTCCTGAAATGAGCCCTGCCCCTCCCAGTGCAGTCGCCTGTCTGTATCTTCGCCTCAGACCTGGATCCCGAGCTTGATCTGTAGATCTTCTGTCCACCTGGGGTCCCCCTTGTAGGTGTCCTCACACGTGGTGACGCATGTAAACTGAGCTCACCTGACTCTTCCGACCTCATTTTGCCCTATTGTTCCCACAGGGCTTTAGGGGCTTGGCACTTTATTCTATCTACCTAGAACTTTCTTTTCACTTGGTCTTCGCATAGTGATCTCCTGTATTGCATTTAGACCCATGTAAAATGCTGGGAGGGCTTCTAAGCATCTGCTGCCCCTCCCCTCGATACATAGGCTACCAATGACCGTCACTTCCTGTTTGGTGCATCAGGACACATTTCAAATTGGCTGAAATAATCTTGTTGATAGTCTCATTCATTTAATCTCTGAATCACCCAGCCCAAGAGTACGCTTCATTAAAGCATGGCAGAAGCGCACAGGGCAGAGAAACTTTTAAAACATAAAACTGAAACTTTTAAAACGTAATTTTACATCACGATGAGCACACAAGTTATACACATACAAAGCAGAAATCAAAGTGTCACAAATGGATATCTGTCTTTATTAAGTTTAATTCAGGCTACATTTTATTCCATTTCTTTAAACTATGTTGCTTTAAAACCACTGAATTTCCCTATTAATGAGACATTATTGAAGTTTGAATAACAGTGGCTTAGGTGTTCTAAGACTGGAATATTCTACCTTGGATTGAAAATTCCAGTCCCAGTGCCTGTCCATCCATTTGTCCGTTCTTTCTTTCTCTTCCTTCCTCCCCTCCCTTCCTCTTCCCTCCCCTCCCCTTCCATTCTCTTTCCTTCCCTTCCCTCCCTCCTTTCCCCCCTCCTTTACCTTTAGTGGATGTCATCATATAGCCCTTGACTTTAAATAATAACAAAAGAATTGCACAAACCTACTGTCTCCAAAATTCATGTTTTATCTTTTTTATTATTCATATGAGCAATGTATTTTTTTTTAAAGAGAATTTATTTTTTAGAGTAGTTTTAGGTCCACTGCAAATCTGAGTGAAATGTGTAGAGAATTCCACTATATCGTCTGTCCCCACACATTCACAGCCTGTCCCATCGTGGACACACCCTGCTAGAGTGGTAAATTAGCTAAAATTTGTGAACCTGCACTGGCACATCATAACCACCCACAGCCTGTAGTTTACATCAGACTCACTCTTGGTGTTGTGTACTCTGTAGGCTTTGACCAA